AGTCTCTGAGTATGATGTTCTTCGCCTTTGCGTCAAGGGATGTCTCTTTGAGGTCTTATAAATTCAAGTTTAGATACTCGAATGTGTTGACAGTCGAAGACAGTCCCCGAGTTTTCGAGGTGTATTTGGCCCTTGAGTTGTTTCTCGTGGAATCACGAGTACGATGTTCGTAATGTAGCAAGTTTATTTGATACACAAAGTGTTTTGATATAGAAAGAACGATTCTTTAGATAAGTGATGCATGCGTAAATGTTTCGCCATCAGGGCTCGACTATTCTATATGGACACGGTTCATCTGATCGTTTGTCCCATTACAAAGTTCTTCTATAGAGACCCAATGTCCTAAAGTGATTTCCTTGTAACAAAGTAGACATTCGAGGCAATGCCCTTCAATATTAGAGGCTTATCGCAGGGAACCTTGGACACCGTTGAATTGCTCTTAGTTAACATGACAATGGTTGCCTCGTTAGAACCTCGCCGGAAAAATCCATTTGCAACAAAAATGGGTCTACGGGAAAAAGAGTGCAACTTATGCTTTAAGGTCCAAAGCTTCATGTCGATCCTTGTCGAAAACCTACAAGTGTTAGTCGAAAAAATAAAAAGGATTAGACTGGGGTCGTACCTTTATTCGGATGTTGAATATTTAACGTGATCTTCCTCGGCATCAAGCCCCCCGTGAATTTTGACCTCGATAATTTCTCCTCTCATTTCGTGCAAAGCTTTTTCCAAACTTGCCATTTTTATGGTCTGCGTTATATGGTTGATATCGATCTATATTCGACATCAGCTCCCGATCGACGTCCCTTTTGATCCAACCCATGGTCTTGCAAGGATAGAAGGACCCCGAAGAAGTCCCCAGTTGATCATCCTCGACTCTAATCTTCGACTGGAACCAATTATGTAAGTCGGCCCAAATGATAGCCGGGTACTCGAGTAAGTTTTGCTTCTACTACTATGAAGTTATGGAACTCCAAGTGTTGAGACCTTGAGTGAAAGCTTGATATAACCCAGTGATCGGTGACCTGAGGCAAATCTATTCTCTCCGCTTGGAACCGAGATACAAATTCCCTGAGAATCTCATTATCTTTCTGCCCTACCTTGAAAAGGTCCGAATTTCTCATTGCAATTTTAATGGCTCCGGCATGTGATTTTACAAAAGAATCTGCAAGCATAGCAAACGAATCAATATAATTAGGGGGTAATTTTTGACACCATATTAAGTCACCCTTGGATAGAGTTTCCCCGAACTTCTTCAGCAGTACAAATTCAATTTTGTCATCTTCAAAGTTATTTCCTTTGATGGCCTATGTATATGGGGTGATGTGTTTATTCGGATCAGTCGGCCTATTATACTTGGGAATCTTGGGCATATGGAACTTCTTGGGGATTAGGTTCGGAGCTGCACTGGGGGGGGGGTTGCACGAATTTTTTAGAATCTAGCCCTTCCAATATCGATGGTGCCCCTAGTATTTGGTTGACGTGGGAGTTGTATGTTTTCACCTTTTTTGTCATTATCCTCAATCTTTTTCTCCCCGGACTCGATCCTCTTGGTGAGTTCCTCGAGCATCCTCATAATCGTGGGGTCAGTTCCCGAGACGTTACCATTTGATCTCTCTGGCACATGCTTAGTACGTCGAGTGTTTTCTGGTTCGACTATACCTGGAGTTCTATTCTGACTTTGAAGTTGAGAGATGGCAACCTATTGAGCTTGTAGCATCACGAATATTACTCGGAGGCTAACTTCCCCAACTCTTATACCATGTGTTCCTTGTGTAAGGCCCCGTGAAAACTTGTACTCAAAATGTACTAACTCGTAGTGCCAACTTTCGAATATGAGCAAGGAATGTGTAAAATTGTACTGCTCTAGCATTTAAAAATCAAGAATTAAAGTTTTCAAGAAAAATATTATTATACGGTCCAAAATGCGATCGCAAATCGAGTATGCGGACTGCATTTCTATCGTAGACTGAGACAGTGGTTGGTTTGGTTAAAATTGAGTCAAAATACGTCCATTATGCGACCGCATAACGGATATGCGGACCGTATAGTCGTTGCATAATTTCCTAAGGATTTTGTGAAAGGTAGTTCTGCGGTGCATTATGCGATCGCAGAACGTGAAAGCAGACCGTATTCCTGCCACAAACCCATCCAGTTCGCCCAGTTTTTGAGAATATTTTTGCGGTCCAATTTGCGGACCGCATTTCCACTTTGGGATCGCAAAGTGCGACCACAGATCTGACTCGGGCTCTAATTTTTTTAAATATTAAACCCGACCCCTTCTTCAATAAAACACCCCAACCCCTCATTATAACATATTTTCTGAACATACTAAAGAGAGGAAGGGATAATTATTGTGAGAGAAAGTTTAACCTTCATTGATTTGATTCTTCAAAGTCACCCGGGATAGGAAATTTCAAGTAATTGTCTTCATCTCCGTTCTTGCAGGTAAAATCCCTAACCTTTTTTCATTGATTTTCAGATTTAAACTAAAAGGGTGAGAGATTCTTGGAAATATAAGTTGAAATACACATGCATGTTCTTTAAAACCTAAAATCTAGTAAAAGGAATTGGGTAGGAGTAATGATTTTCAAAGGAGCAATTGATAATCTAAATAAGTTCGGGTAGTAATTGTGAACTTCAATTCTAAGATATATGTATTAACTTGTGAACTAGATTGACGGTACTAGGCTGGTTGGTAAACTAAAAATAGAAGTAAAAAGGGAAATTCGACTCCAGATATATATGGCTAACTTTAACCTTTTTAAGGTCACCTTGTTTGGTGTATGAGTGGTTGGTGTGTGTCACTTTTATGTGGACTATTTATGAATTCTTTTGATTAATATGCCTTGAACGTTATTGGTTAAGTTCCCGATATGATGGTGTAAGTAAATGGCAACAAACCAAGTGTGTGTAAATGTATTTATGTGGTAAGAGCTGTGTAACAAATGATGGAAAGAAGTCGTAGTTAATGTAATTGAAACAACTGTGGTAATATCACGTGTGGATTGTCATGGGCAATTATCGTTGTGACTTGAATTGTATCCGGGCTGTTGTACTTGATGGAAATAGAATTGATGTCTATGAAACTCTTTGTGAATTTTTGTTTATGTTGTTGAGTGAAATGTGATTGTTCGGTGGGATCGGGTTGCGCGCCGAAACACGAAGTTATAAGGTGCGAGTTGTGGTGATAAGGGTGGCCGAAGTAATAAGGGTGGAAAAGTGATCGAAATCACTATTGAAATGAAAATATGTAAAAGTTGTGAAAATCATTGATGTGATGGAATAATGTTGAAAGGGGAAAATGAGAGATTGTGAAACTTGTTTGGCTTTGGTTATTACTTTCATGTGCATTTGATCGTTGGTTCTATTATTTATTGTTATCTGTGCATTGATTGATTTTACTTGCGGTAAAGTTCGTTCATACATACTAGTATAATTCAAATGTACTAGCGTCCCTTTTGCTGGGGTCGCTACATTCGTATTATTATTGTAGGTGGTTCTATAGCAGGTACTCCAATCCACTGACAGTAGCACTCCTTCACTTTCCGTCAGCTAAATTGGTGAGCCCCTTTCCTCTTGGGGCATGCGTGCTTATGCCGCTTTTCTTCTGGAGTATTATTTTGGTATTTGTGTAAGGTATAGACGGAGCCTTATTACCAACAAGTATTGTATTACCCTTTTGTATCCTTAGAGGCTCCGTAGACAGGAAATGTGGGTTGTGAACTCATGTAAATATGTATTTTGTATGTTGCGCGATGTAACTTGTAAACTGCGCAAAGTAACCTTGTATGTTATGTATATCTCGTAAGAAGGTGTTTAAATTATAAATGGTTATCTCACTTGATTAATGAGTAATAAAAACATGGGGTAACACGTGGGGTAGGAAAAGCACACAGGTCCGCTTGACTGGGGCTACCCAGTCGAGCGCCGGTCATGTCCCTCGGTTTTTGGGACGTGACAAACTTGGTATCTGAGCCCAAGGTTTTAAAAGAGTCATAGGATGTCTCAGAGGCGTGTCTAGTAGAGCCCTTCTTATCGGTATATTGTCAACCACATTTATAAGTAGGAGGCTACATGGAGATTTAGGAAACTACCCTCTTCTTTGTTATTCTATATCGTGCAGTGAATGAAAAGTAGAAGTATTTATGTCTAACTCGTGCTCTGTTCCGAAATTTTCAGTAATGGCACCTAAGAAGAGAGCTAGAATTGGCCTTGTGGCCAATGCCACCCCAAGTGTGGCTGTAGACTATGTACCTAATGCCGTGGGTGAGAGTGACTCCCCGGTCTTGAATTTGCCTGGCCCATCTATTCCCGATCAAAGTATCCATGTTCCAGCTATGGCAGAGGGTGCTATAATCCCTCCTGTCGATATTCCTGATTCTGATGCAGTTCCAATTTCCAATCCCAGATTTTTTGATAGGGACCTTAGAGGAGCCATCCATATGTTGACCTAGTTAGTGGCTGCTCAGGCCCAGAGATCTTATGATCCCCCTGTGTCCTCCAGTAGACAGGGAGATTCTGCCAGCTCCAGAGTCAACCAGTTTCTGCGGTTGGCCCCTCCAGAGTTCACAGGCACAGACCCAGAGGCCGATCCACAAGATTTAATTGATGAAATGTATAAGACCCTTCGAGTGATGAAGGATTCAGAGACGGAGGGAGTTGAGTTAGATTCCTACAGGTTGAGGGGAGCAGCATATTCGTGGTTCGAGATGTGGGAGGATTCCTGTAGGGAAGAAAGTTCTCCGGCTAAATGGAATGAGTCTATAGATGTATTTATGGACTACTTCTTGCCTGCCGAGACAATGACAGCCCATGTCACTGAGTTTGAGGTGCTCAAGCAGGGTAGTATGAGTGTTTGAGAGTACCATATGCAATTTGTGAGATTGTCCAAGTATGCTCCTCAATTAGAGTCGACCATGAGTGCTCGAGTTCGGCGATTCGTTTAGGGCCTTAGTCCCTTGGTGGTGAATGAGACTGCTACAATAGCCTTACACTCAGATATGAATTATGGAAAGATTGTGGGATTCCCTCAGGACACAGAGGCTAGGAAGTTGAAAATACGGGCAGAAAGGGAGAGTAGCAGCAGGGCTCGATCAGTGGGTCACTCAGGAAGACTAGTTCAGGGGAGAGGGCCATCAAGGCTATCCCAATCATATGCTCAGTCCTCAGCGAGCGCACCGCCATCTGTGCACAGTTATCAGCAGAGCTGTCACTTGAGATAAGGTCCAGATAGTAGGAGACTCCATCAATCCGGTTGTTCAGGAGGGAAATTACAACAGGGTAGGGCTTTGTGCCCCAAGTGTGGGAGAACTCATACATAGACTTGTTATTTGGATATCCTGGTGTGCTACAGATGCGGGGTGAGAGGCCATATCCAGCGAGACTATCGTACTCCTAGTCATGGCATGGGTGTAGCGGATTTGCTCAGTCATCCAGTTCTTCAGCCGCCACATCATCCGTGCTTCCTCCATCTCCAGCAGGGCATGGCGTTTTTAGGGGTGGGGCTTGTGGTAGAGGTGGACCCAGCCAGGTTTATGCTTTGAGTGGTCGCCAGAGTGTAGAGGCTTCTCCAAATGTTGTTACAGGTATCTTATCTGTTTAGGCCATTGATTGTTACACTCTTATTGATCCGGGATCCTCTTTGTCTTATGTCACCCCATTCATGGCTTCAAGTTTTGGGATAGAACCCGAACAACTTCATGAGCTATTCTATGTATCAACTTTTGGTGATTCTATTACAGTCACGTGGGTTTATAGGAATTGTGTTGTCACGGTATGTGTTCGTGTTACCACGGCCGATCTTGTCGAGCTTGGAAGGGTGGATTTTGATGTGATTATGGGAATGGACTGGATTTATTCATGCTTTGCTCAACTTGATTGCCGAACGAGAGTCATGAGACTCGAGTTCCCTAATGAGCCTGTTATTGAGTGGAAGGGGAATAGTGTGGTGCCAAAGGATAGGTTTATTTCCTACCTTAAGGCTTCGAAGATGATTAAGAAGGGGTGTATCTATCATTTGGTTCGGGTGGCGGATACCACTTCAAAATTGTCTGTCCCCGAGTCCATGCCAGTTGTGAATGAGTTTCTTGAAGTGTTTCTGGACGAGCTTCCGGGGATTCCGCCAGATAGGGAGATTGATTTTGGGATTGATGTATTGCTAGATACGCAGCCAATATCTATTCCACCATACAGAATGGCGCCATCAGAGTTAAGGGAGTTAAAGGAGCAGCTGAAGGATTTATTAGGAAAGGGATTCGTACGGCTAAGTGTGTCGCCATGGGGTGCTCCAGTTCTTTTTGTTAAGAAGAAGGATAGGTCACTTCGGATGTGTATTGATTATCAGCAACTCAACAAAGTTACTATCAAGAATAAATATCCTTTGCCTCAGATAGATGATTTGTTCGACTAATTGCAAAGTGCAAGGTTCTTCTCCAAAATTGATCTACTGTCCGGGTATCACCAATTAAAGATCAGAGAGCAGGATATCCCTAAGACTGCTTTTAGAACTCGCTATAGTCACTTTGAATTCTTGGTCATGTCTTTTGGGCTAACCAACGCCCTAGCAGCTTTTATGGATCTTATGAATCGGGTCTTCAAGCCATTTCTAGACTTCTTTGTGATTGTTTTCATTGATGACATCTTGTTTATTCGCGGAGCCGAGAAGATCATGCCAATCACCTTAGGGCAGTTCTACAAACTCTTCATCAACATGAGTTGTATACTAAATTTTCAAAATGTGAATTTTGGTTGGAATCCGTTACCTTTCTTGGTCATGTTGTTTCCAGTGAAGGGATTCAAGTGGATCCCCAGAAGATCATAGCAGTAAAACATTGGCCTAGACCCATGACCCCGACGGAGATTCTTAGCTTCTTGCGTTTAACAGGGTATTATCGGAGGTTTGTGGAGGGATTCTCTACCCTCGCCTCGCCATTGACTAAGTTGACGCAGAAAGCAGTTAAGTTCCAATGGTCTGACACATGATTTGGAGCTTGCAGCTGTTGTATTTGCCTTGAAAATATAGCGACATTATCTTTATAGGGTCCATATGGATGTGTTGTCGAACCGCAAGAGTCTCCAGTATTTGTTCAAGCAGAAGGAGTTGAACTTAAGGCAGCGACGGTGGTTAGAATTGCTCAAGGATTATGATATGAATATTTTGTACTATTCGGGAAAGGCGAATGTGGTGACCAACGCTCTCAGTCAGAAGTCTATGGGTAGTTTGGCTCATTTGGGAGCGGATCAGAGGCCCGTGGCTCGGGAGGTTTATCAATTGGACAGTCTGGGGTTTGTATTTCGACCTCAGACGAGGGGAATGTTATGGTGCATAATAAAGCAGAATTTCTGCTTGTAGCGAAAATCAAGGAAAAGCAGTTTATTAATCTAGAATTGGCACAGATGAAGGAGGCAATTTTGAATAACAAGACTTCGACATTTTCACTCGGCAGCGATGGTGTATTGCGTTATTGAGGTAGGCTATGTGTTGTAGATGTGGATAATCTTCGGGAGAGGGTAATGGCGGAGGCTCATAATTCTAGGTGTTCTGTGCTCCCAGGTTCTACGAAAATGTATCATGATCTCAAGAAAATTTATTGGTGGAATAGTATGAAGAGGGGTGTGGCGGACCTTGTATCCAAATGTTTGAATTGTTAGCAAGTAAAAGCCGATGGGTTAATTCAGCTTATGGAAATACCAATGTGGAAATGATAGATGATCAACATGGATTTTGTGGTAGGGTTACCTCGCACTCAGCGCAAGTTTGATCAATTTGGGTAATAGTGGATCGTCTTACAAAATCAGCTCACTTCTAGCCAGTCAAATTCACCGATACTACAGAACAATATGCTCAGTTGTATATTAAGGAACTAGTAAGGCTTTATGGAACTCCACTTTCTATCATCTCAGATCTAGGGGCCCAGTTCACAGCTAATTTTTAGAAGACATTTCAGCAAGGTTTGGGTACTCAGGTTAATCTCAGCACGACTTTCCATCTATAGACTGATGGTTAAGCGGAGTGAACTATTCAGACACTTGAAGATATGCTGTGAGCTTGTGTCTTGGATTTCAAAGGTAATTGGGATGATCACTTGTCACTTGTAGAATTTGCTTACAATAACAACTTTCACGCTAGTATTCAGATGGCCCCATTTGAGGCATTGTATGGACGGAGGTGTAGGTCTCTGATTGGGTGGTTTGAAGTGGGTGAATCAGAATTGATAGGGCCATATCTCGTGCACCAGGCTATGGAAAAAGTTAAAGTCATTTAGGAGAGGATGAATACTGCTCAGTGTCAGCGAAAATCATATGCGGACGTTCGTCGAAGAGAATTGGAATTCCAAGTAGATGATTGAGTATTCTTAAGGGCATCTCCTATGAAGGGAGTCATGCGGTTTAGGAAGAAAGGGAAATTGAGTCCTAGATATATCGGGGCGTATCGAGTCACTCAAAGGATATGACAGGTTTTTATAGGATGGAATTGCCCCCTGAAATGTCATTAGTGCACCCGGTGTTCCATGTGTCTATGTTAAGAAGAGTGGTTGGGGATTCATCAACCATCGTGCCAGTTGAGAATATCGAGGTTAATGAAAGGCTATCGTATGAAGAAGTTCCGGTTGCAATTCTTGATAGGAAAGTCCGTAAATTGAGAAACAAGAAAATTGCTTCAGTTAAAGTATTATGGTGAAGTCAACGAGTCGAAGAAGCCACGTGGGAAATGGAAAGTGAGATGAAAGAAAAATATCCCCATATATTTGAACAAGTCTAGTAGTAATTGTGCGAACTCTTATTTCTAAGCAAACTGATGTTGTGTTCAATTTGGTGCAAAGACACCCCATTTTTCCCTAAATGCTTTACTATTGTAACTCCTCAAGTTGTGCAAAAAAATTGTACGTATTGTGATTCTTTGAGTTATGTGCAAACCCTTTTGGTAAATGAAAGTTTTGTTACTCATGTGATAAGTGAAACACTAATAGTAGTGTAGATTGGTAATAATTAATTGAAATGCATTGTATTGAAGTGGTTAAATTGTATGTGACTCATGAAGTGACTAATTAATGTGCAAATATGACAAGTGATTAAATATGTGCAAGCGTTGAGGTAATGAATTATATACGAGTTGTAGGGATAATAGAAAGTGTATATTCGTGCTTGAACTATGTTACGGGGGCTCTCTGACAGGTAGATAAGTCTAATTACAAAGGAAACTCTGGCGAACTTTTCTAAAAATATGGGAGTTTGCATATCATATTTTCAAAACCAACTGATTTTCAAAGTCCTTATTCGAGGACCAACGATTTTAAGTGGGGGGGGGGGG